CTGGGAGAGAACAGCTGTCCACATCAGTCATGTCTGTTACTACTTACCTACAGGAGAGAGTTCACGAGACTTATCCCTGAGGACATCAGTCATCAAGAGGACCTACTTCCTCTGTCCTTCCCCTTGCAGACCCTGACATTCATGTGAAGTTCCATAAGCCCCTCAGAACAGTTGGCTAAGGGCCTTGGCATGTGTACACTGCTGTGTTCTCCATGCTAAGACTCAGAAGGCCATGCCCAGGTGACCTAGTCTAACTGTGACTCTAATGGAAACACTGACTAGTTCCATGGACTAGGAGATTCAGACAGCTGGTAAAGCATTTTTTCTCTGTTAGCTCTAATGGGTCAGATTCCAACCCTGCCCACAACTCCCCAGCTCACCTGGAGCCAGGAATCTTGGACAATGATCTGGTGCCAGGAAATTCTGGTGGTTAATCTCCCCTCTAATAAAATTACATAGTTCCCTCATCTAAACTGTCCCTGAGTCTCAAGGTTTCTTTCTTAGGGCTACATTTTTTTGTGAGATCCACACAATCTAGACTTGTTCTAATACTTTGGATGAGTTATCCCAACACATAATCAACTCTTAGCAGGGTGATTTCAGATAAATGTTTGACAATGCACTTAGTCTACTCTGAGTGTGCCCGCACTGACTGTTTAAACACTAATGTGGGCTAAAAGTAAAATGAAATAAAAATTAAAAATATATCATGTGTTCCTCAGGATGTAATTGGAAATAGCAAAACTCTATTGGGGCATATCGTCTCTCTGCCACTGTGTGTAGACCTCAATAAGCTTTGATTTGGGCTATTATACCTGTATGTGTCTATAAATATAATCCACAGTTGCCCTTTTGATCAGTAAAACTTTATGTTAATAAAAATTAAAGATTTTGATTTTTCTCTTTTACCATCATTCCATAGATATACTAAGACCAGTTGAATGTCAGGCAGGGGTGGCACACGCCTTTAATACCAGCACTCAGGAATCAAGGGCATGTGGATCTATAGAATGAGATCTGGAACATCCAGGGCTACACAGAAAATTCCTGTCTGGAAAAGAAATGAAAACAAAACAGTAATAGAATATTCTCAACTTCAACTTCTCTGTGAAACAGTGGTTCTATAGAGAGTTCAGCAGTATGAGGAGGTTGCCAGCAGGTTGAAAGGAAGTCCAGGAGTTGAAGGGAAGGCTTCTTGGTTAAGAGAACTGGCTCCTCTTTCATAGGACATGGAATAAATTTCCAGCACCTTCAGGGTGGTTCACCATAACATTGAACTCCAATTCTAGGGAATATAATGTCTTTACTGCACCCTGTAAGCAACACATGCAGGTGGTACACAGACACACCTGCAGGCAAAACACTCATGTACATCAGAAAATCTTGTAAAATTCTTTTAAAAATAAATGAAAACCAAGGTTAGATAGAAAAGAGAGGAATCTTGGTTCCTTTGCATTTCATGGAACAGTGGGTCTATAACCTAAGCAGGTGTGTTCATCCCTTAGCTTTGGTGGGAGTTTCTGGGTAGCTCTACAGAAATTGGTGAAGAGAAGCAATGTGGCATGACCTCATTTCAAATATTGCTCATGAAACAAGTCATTTACCCTTATGGAACTGTATTCTTAGGTATCTCTATGGTTCAATCCAACTGCTTTCAGGGGTACTCACAATTAAGAGCATTTTGTATTTAGGAGATACCTTCTCTACATGCTACTTCTAGAATGCCTGGGCCATCTCTTTCTCATTTTAATTTTATTAGATTTATTTTATTTTATATATGCATATGGTTCTGTATAAACTGTGTTCAAAGAGACTTTTTATGACAGGGGACTTTGTAAAATACCCTGGAGCTGGAGTTACAGAAGGTTGGTTGAGAAGCCAACATTGGTGCCTAACATTGGTACTGGGAACTGAACTCAGGTTTTCTGGAAGAGGAAAGCGTGTACTTATTCATTGAGCCATATCTCCAGACATCCTTTCTCATTTCCTTGCTCTGCACATGGGGAAATCATACTGTACAATTATGGATGTTAGAAGACATGAAGCATTTAGGTCTATATCTCCACTATGTGGGACATGGGGTTTGACTCAGCATGTCAGCCATAGAGCAAGCACTCACTACACCATCTCTTTGGACTATTCTGGTTGGAAATTTATCTGGAAACTCACCCTGTCACAGTTTGGAACTTCGGTCATCATAATATAATATCCAATGGTGATTAGCTCTGAGTAGGGAACATTCTGGCATTTTCCCTCCTTTTAACATTTCCTGCTCATCAAGAGCTTTCTGCCACTGAGCTGTTCTCCCCTCAGCCCCTCTAGGTACTCTTGCAAGTACAAACTCTGAATCCCCTCTCAAACTCTTATCTTAGGTAATTATAGCTATTCTCTGAGTTCCCCTACTTTTATCCACTGTCAGTGCATGGTCATTTTAGTTTTGTGTTAGGACACAGGTCTGCACCTTTAGGACAGATACCCACACCATTAATCAGGCCACATCTCCTGCACCTCATGCTAGGACAGAATTTAGAAGATGTCTGTGCTGTGACCTGACTACCCACAGTTTACAATACCTGGTTCCTCCATGCTCCTTATCACTTACACTACACTTAACTACATCACATGGTGTGAAACATCCCACTGCAGCTACAAGATTATAAAAGATCAGAACTTTCCATTTTTCTGGGGATCAAGAGACAACTGCTCCAGGATGTTGCCCAGAAAAGGGAGGATGTTCTTACCAGAGGCTCCTCAGATTCCTCCATGATCACTCCCTTGGTAGCTATTTCTCATTCTCTCATTCTCCATAGTTCTTTTTTATGTTCATTCTTATTTTTCTAAATTTTTAAAGTACTTTTTCAGAATTTTCTACATACATATTATGATTAGATTACATCCTTTCCATCCCACCCTATCCCACTCTACCTCCTCTTAGGACTCCCACTCAAGCTCATGGCTTTTTATTTAATTTTCATTATTATTGCATATAGCTGTGCATAAAGCAATAACTGTATAAATATAATTATATGCCTTCATTTAATGTTGCTCACTTGTGTGTGTATTTATGGTTAACCACATGGCATCAAATAACTTACCAGGAGCTCATACCTGGAGAACACTGACTCTCCTTCTCTCAGAACTCATTAATCACCTGGAGATCTTTATGTAAATTTCCCTATGTATTCTGGCATGTCAATTGGTGTTTTCATTCTTTAGGTCTATTTACGCAGCAATATGTTTGAATTTTTAATTATTTATTTTTTATTGAAAATATCCACCTCCTCCCACTTCCCTCCCCTCCCCCCACACCCCTGTCCCCTTCCCTCTCCAGTCCAAGAAGCGGTCAGTGTTCCCTACCCTATGGGAAGTCCAAGGTCCTCCCTTCTCCCCCCAGGTCCAGGAAGGTGAGCATCCAAATGGACTAGGCTCCCACAAAGCCCGTCCATGCAGTAGAATCAAAACCCAGAACCATTGTCCTTGGCTTCTCCATTGGAGCACTGGACTGAGCTCCTAAGGTCCATGTGAAGAGCAGAAGGAGGAAGAACATGATCAAGGAAGTCAGGACCATGAGGGGTGCATCCACCCACTGAGATGGCGGGACTGATCTAATGGGAGATGACCAAGGCCAGTTGGACTGGAACTGATGGAGCATGTGATCAAACCGGACTCTGAATGTGGCTGATGGTGTTTGAATTTTCTTGGGTTTAGCTTCCACATAAAATATAAAAGACACAATTTCACAGTAGACAGGAGGTCTTCTGCCCCTTACAGGATTACAAATTCTCTTCTGAGATGTGTCACGAACCTCAAACAAGGGGGTTGTGTTATAGATAGATCAGGTAGTGTTGGGCACCCCATAGTTTATCTTAGTTAAGGTTTTATTGCTATAAAGAGACAATAAGGCCATGGCTACTCTTATTTAAAAAAATAACTAATTGTAGATTACGTATAGTTTCAAAGGTTTAGTCTACTATCGTGGCAAAAAGCATGGCTACGTGCAGGCTCCACATCTAGATCCACAGGCAGCAGAATGATGCTACGTGCCGAGAGAGTAGTTTGACCACTTGAGACTTCAAAGTCTCTTTTCAAAGGGACAAACTTCCTCCAACAAACCCACACCTACCCAAACAAGGCCACATTTCTTAGTAGTGCAACTTCCTAGGGGCCAAGCTTTCAAACATGTGAGTCTATGGGGGACATTCCTATACATACCACCAATTATTTATTGTTCACTGTGTTTGGATTAGTTTTGAGTTTCTTTTGTGGCCTCTGTCTTTGCAAAAAGAAAGCATCTTTAATGTAGGGCTAAAGCTACATTTGTCTGTGGGAATAAGGACATTTTTTAGAATGAACCTAGAAATTAAACTTGTTTAGGAAAGTAGCCATTATAAGTGCTTCTCAAAAATCCATAATATCCCATTCATGTACTGCTGATTGCATTCTAGTACCAGCTGTGCTTCTCTCCTTTGAGCAGCCTTAAGTCCAATTAGACCATTTTTGGTTACCTCCAAGGGATAAATACAACTCTTGAACATTTAAGTATATCTTGCCATGCTGATCAATGCTGTAATCTGTAGGAATCACAACTTGGAAGGACAATTTATTGTCTTCCTTTGTTGCCAGCTTACATAGAATCTTCAAGTGCTATAAGGTCTAATCCTCAGAGAAAAGTTTTCTGCATCACATAAGCATGAACAGGGACTGTATGAATTGGCAAGAGGTCCCTTTCAATTATTATATACTTAGCTGAGTATTTTATGAGACTCCTGACTCTGAGAACAAGCGAGACTCTGACTTCTGTGTCTTCTCTTAGGACTCTTTTGCTCATGCTGAGTTGCAGAGCCCAACATGAACATGGCTGTTTTTGTTTCATGTTATTTTATTTTATTTTGTGATGTTTTGTTATTATCTCTTAGAGGCCTATTCTTCTCTAATAAGAGAAAGAAATGGAGTGGATTCCCATGATATAGGAAGTGGGTAGGAATGCGAAGTGCTGAGAGAGAGGAAATGATAAATGGTATATATTGGATGAGAAAAGAATCTATTTTCAATAAATAAATTTCAAAGTGATTATTAGCATTAACAATCTTAAATTAGATTAACTTTCTTTTTAAAATAGAAACATTATTAACACTAGACCTGAAATTTGATACCTTGCTATCTATTTTTCACATTATCAAAATTTCTATGACTACTCACAGTGATGGGAGTAATTTGTAGAGCAAGTTACATGAAACAGACACATACCTGGAAACACAGAAACTACAGAGATAGAAGCCTGAAAAAACACAAAAATTCCATGAATAACTCCTAAGTCTGAATCAATAAAGATATTTGACAAAATGAACAATTTTAAATGATGAAAACAGACAAACCAGGGGTAGAAGAAAGGGCAGAGCATTAGGGGCACACATGAAAAACCACTGTCAACCCAGTACTCAGTGGGGACACTGATATCCTCTAAGACCAGGATGGACACAAGGATGCTGAAGTGACCACTTTTATTCAGTATTCTCTTTGATGCCCTAGACATAACATTAGGCAACACAAATAAATAAAAATTGAACAATTAACTGACTATAAAATAGATCTAAAGATGGCATGAGCTTATCTATTAAAAATCTGAAAGATTCTACAGAAGTTTCTGGAACTGGTGAGCAAACACACCCATCTGAGCTCTACTACTGTAAGTTATTACTGCACACAGGCCATTAGATGCACATGCATAGGGAAGCTAAGTAACAGCAAAGACTCATGTTGGACCCATGTAACATACTGGGAAGAAGAATAGAAATGATTTTGTGACTAGATGGGGAAAGATGGGATGGAAGAAGAGAGAATTTGAAGTAATAACTGGAACAGTGGGGTATTTGGGAAGCAGTGTGGAAACCTACTACAGTGGAAACTCCGTGGAATCTACAAAAGAGATACTAATAAAGACTCCTAGTAGTGAGGGATAGGTATCCTGAACAAGTCATTTCTACAACCACAGAAGAATTCAAGTAGTGGGACTGGAACACTAATCCAGTCACAAAATATTCAACCTGCATTCTGTCCTTCCTGAACTATATACTGGGGATAATGGTGGAAAAGAACTTGTGGGATTGACCAACCAATAACTGGCCAAAATTAAAGCCTACTCCATGAAAGGGAGCTCAGACCTGACACTGCCTGGATGGTCAGGAAGCAGAGGCTTGAGAACCCAGAAATTCAGGAAAAAAATCACAAAGATGCCTGTAAAAAATATTTCAATAAAATTATTAGTAAAGATATTCTGTTACACTAGTAGATAGCTGCACAGCCTAATAGTTATTAGAGCAGCATCAGCCAGCAATGAATAAGAACAGATGCTGAGAAATATAGCCAAACACATGGAAACACCGGGCAACCCCACAGAAATGGGAAAGCATGGTTTGTAGGAACCAAAGGTGTCAAAAACACCATGAAATCATAGAACACACAAACAATCAAGCAGGGCTTATAGAGGATTGAGAGACTGAAATTATAATCCTAGACTGTGTCTGGGTTTGAGCGAGGGTAGCAGCATATAAGTTGTAGTAATGTAGATGGGTATGACTCTTTTGCCTGCCCTCTGGACCCATTTCTTCCTACTGGGATGTCTCTCCCAGCTCTAATACGAAGGATGGTAGCAATTCTTACATAACTTACAGAGTTATGTGCTGTAGATATCCCTGGGAGGCCTGCTCATTTTTTGAAGGGAAACAGAAGATGAGTGGGCCTGAGGTAGAGAGTAAGTAGGATTTAGGGATAAAGGAGGAAAACTGCGATCAGTATGTAATATATAGAGAAGAATAAAAAGGGAAAGAGAGGCATGCTAACAAGAAAAAGACTCAAGGTCCTACAGTGAATGATAATTTCAGGGTGAAAACTGTATGAGCTGCACTTACATGAAGGATTTTACATCTGTACATCAAGCAGGCGGAATCAAAGCTGTTTAGAAACCAGCTATGTCCACAGTGAGACACGGGCAGACCCTCCTCCTGTCACTCTTCCTCACTTCAGGTAGCATTGGGCTTGGGTAAATTAAGTAAACAGGGAATGTATTTGAGCATATGAGATATTTTCCCCAATGAAAACAGGGCACCACTTTCACAGCAGACTCAGAGCATACAAAAACTTGAGGATTCCTGAAATTAGTTCCCATGAATTTTGAGGGAAAATATATATCAACAGCAATCTAAGCTCTTCAGGCCTTTGAATTTTTGTTTCCTATATTAATGTCTTTATTTTCCTTTTAAGACAACCTCACTTTAATTCCTGGCCTTCCCCTGTATACACGATTATAGAGGTGAGTCACCAGGCTGGCTGAACCTGAATAGTGAGTAACTAATCATTTTTACCACATAACTCTTCTCCATTTTGTACTCCACTGATAAACGAATGCCCCCACTCTGCTGTAGGATGAGAGGAGAGGCCACTCATTCTTCACGGCCAGGAGACTGGGAGACTGGTCTTCGAACTGAATCGGTTGGAGACCTCACACTGATACTCTCCAGCATCCGTGCTACTGACAGGATCTATTCTGAGTCCACACTTTGTTGGGGACAGAGTCATCTTCTCTGTGAGCTGCAGATTCTCCTTATTGAAGATCCAACGGATGGAGACATCAGTGTCGGGTGAAACGCAAGTGAAAATCACAGATCTACGTTCTGCAACTGTGGTGTTGGTGATTTGCACAAAGGGCTGTGTCACATTCTCTGTGAAGAAACAGAGGAGAATACCAAATGGGAGTCATCCAGAGAGTTCAGCCAGGCCCTCTTTAGTTCATACTTTATAAAGCTACCAATGGGAAAATTTTTGTACTGTGACTATAGACATATTTTGTGCTTTTAATCTACCACCCAGGGACTGTATTGCCTGATTCAAGCACTGTTTCCTATATCTCCATTTCCCCATAATAGGACACACAGTGCATGAACATGACCATGTCTGTGAGCTAAGCTTAGTTAAAAGCCATGGTCTGACCATGGGATGGGGAACTGCTCATAACATCAACATCTGTTCTATTTACCTGCAGAAAGAAATTCCCTAGGCTGGGCCCCTGAAGTGAAGGAGGGATCTGGAGTAACTGTCTCCTCGGTTTCTTTCCTTGGTGCCTTGACTTTTCATGGACCAGATACTTGTCTACTGAGCCTCAGGAGAAGGAGGTGCACTGGTGACCTACTAACTACAGCTGCCATGGTAATATATAGTTGATTCGACACTCTATGGGGTAGTCAGTCCCATGACTCATACAATCAGTAAAGTCACATTTCATGTTGTTTCTGACAGAAAATCTAAACAAACAGTTACAAAAAACTCCCCAATATCATACTGTATCCAATCCTGGGCAAAGTTTTAGAATCAGCGATTCATGATGCTCTCTGTGAGGACCCCATGACTTCATCAGCCTGGACCCGCCTGACTCCCATGGAGTCTTTCTGAGGACACGTGCAAGATGAGAGATCCAAGTATCTGGGTTGGAACTGACATCCTGGGACTGACTTTACCCAGTGCATGTCCTCCTCTCTGCAGCGGAGGTGTTCTGATCTATTACAGTTTGTCTAAACTATGTGTGTCCTGCAGTAGGGACCCAAACTCTAGTGGGAGACACAATGCTGTGGTGGAAGAGGAGGCACAGCCCAGTCATGACAGTTCAGTGTATGAAGTTAGCATAAGCCACACCCAGCAGTTGGAGACCATAGAGAATCACTTACTCTTTAAAGAAAATTCCACATATGCTTTTTGAATATCGAAATTTTTGTTTAAAACTTCTAGTGTGTACATTCCTGCATCTTTCTCAGTGACATTGTGGAGCACCAGAGATCCATTAAAGTACACCATTCCTCTTCTTTTGTGTGCAAGTCCCCAAGTGATAGAATGCGTGGTTCTGACATATTCTACAATTCTAAGGACTGGCGTCCTATTCTTTGATTTGTACCAGAAAAAGGCATTCACATCTTCTGGAAGATTATGAACTTGAAGAAATATGCTTTCACCTTCAGCAGGATACTGAGGCAATGGCTGGATCATGAGTTGGGAAGAAGTGAGAGGATTACAGGACACAGAAAGGTAAGCTGGGAGGAAAAAGAGAAAAAAGTCATCACTGTGCTTGAGCAGATGGATTCATCAATCAGCCTATATTTGCAGGTGGGTATATGTCTATGCCCCTTAATGAAGGGCACAAACATGACCTCCTCCTTTCCAAAAGTGCCCCTGAAAGTGTCAGATCCTCTACATGGAACTGTCCCCCTTGGGTGTCTATATAGCTTTTCCCTCACTGCCTTCAATAAAATACTACACACACTCCTAGACATGGGGTTGAGATGACACCTGCCCTCAACTCAACAGGCCCAAAAATTTTCACTTAGTTTTTTTCTTTTTGCAGGTGGAGTCAGAAAACTAAAGCTGATCTACAGCAATTTGTCTCTATGGGTGTCCTACACTAAGTACTCAAACTTCCACCTGGGAAGACAGTGCAAAAGGAAGGGAGGCTAGGCCATGTGTATCTAAGCCCCACCCAACACCGAACAATCTAAGAGAATCACTTACTCTCCACCTGGAGTTGCACTAGTGCCTCTTCGTTTCCTGTATCTGCTCTCAGGATTCGTAGTGTGTACAATCCACGGTCTTTCTGACTGACACCATGAAGCAGCAGGGATCCATCACTGTACAGCCTCTCCCTACCACTGTATGCAGGTCCCCATACAGTGGGTTTCCCGTCTGCTATATTTCGGATACCCAAAATGTTCTTGAAGTCAACCACTCCTTTGAACCAGACAAACTCTACAGTATTTTCTGGGGGATTACGAACAAGTAGAAGAACATTTCTCCCTTCAACAACACTGGGTGGCACTGATTCAATGGTGAATTGTGAAGAGGTACCAAGGCGCCCACACTTCCAAACGAAAGCTAGAAGGGAAGAGAGAGATCTTCCTAAGTTGAGCTTTTAGTATTTAACTAGAAAGAGGCCCTGTGTCCTGAGCAGCTGTGCCTATTGCTCAGCCTAATTTTGTTGTTGACTGTCTCCCTATTCTACTTGGTGGATGTCAGCACATGAGTTTCATATTCTCAGTGTTCCCACTTGTCATTTCCACTCTATGTCTCTCTCCAGTTGTCATCAGTGCTCCGGCTTACTGCCCTGCTCTGAGTGGCACAAGGACTTAAAAGCAGTGCTTTGATCCCTGATCTCATATAAAGTGGACTGGTGTTGGGGTGATGGCTGTCCAACCTCTTCCTTTACAGGCTCTCTGTCTTCACTCCAACTTTTGTTGTTCTATTCCTCTTGAGGTTGCACTCAACATCTGAATTTCCCTTCTAGCTTTCTTTACTTCAGGTCCACTCAAACTGAGACATCATAAAAACCATAAATTTTCTTCTATTTAAAAAAATGATGCCTAGAAAAAACTCAGATTCATGGGAAAATAGAATGAGTGAATGACGTCTTAGAACCCTATATAGATATGGACTTTAAGAAACTCAAAGGTTAGGAATACAGTATTAGTAATTCAGTTTGCTTTAATTTTTCACACTTGTTTACAGGTTATACTAGTGTGTGAGTAGTGAAAGGGCTTGTCATGGGGGGAGGGTCAGGACACAGTACTTAAGTGGCGGTCAAAGGGACTTCTGTTCATTGGTCTCGGCTTGCCAGACAATGAAGCAAAGACTTATATCCAGGGGACCATGTCAGTGATCCACACCAGCTTGATATTTTTGGCAATCAAGCTGAGAGCACCAGTCTTCAGAATACTGTGGTCATGCTTACTAACTTTGTGCAAGAGTAAGGTAGCACCCTCCCTTACTTCTTAACATTCAATGAGAGCATCATAATCCTGAACCTCTCTCCCACTCTGTATCTTCCTCTTACAAACACTGGCACTGCTTTCATGTCCTTGTGCCACTCAGGGAACCCCAGATAATATGTCAGTACTCTCCTCTCAAACACTTTCAAGTCCTGGTCTCCTCATCTGTGACCTGTGATGTGGTACACCTTTGAAGAAGAGTACAGAGGAAGCCTTCATTATCTGCATAGACTTATCTGTAATCCCTCTGAGGTACTTCTGCTCCAGCACAGCTCCTAAACTCTGCTGCCCTTTCCCCATATCCCATATGAGTTGAGCCTCTTCCCAGGAAAGAGCATCTCCCAGATTCCCTTGGGCTGAGGGTGGGTCTGTGTTCAAAGCATGGCTTTCAGTGCTACCCCATGTTCTTTTCCCATTCTCTCCTTATGTTTCTCTCCTCTAGAACAGAGTGGGAATCAAGGGCAAGGACCATTCCTGTAACATGAGATAATAGAAGCTGGCCCTAGAACTGCATACTCCTCTGCCCTGGCCTAGGCTTGTCAGCACCAAAAAAGGGAAAATCTGCACAACTGTGTGGCAAAGAAACCTGGTGGAGTGCCCAGTCTTCCCTGTGCTTTCATTGCTCTGGAAACATGGAATTTGCTCCCAGCAGGAAGGGAACAAAACTGCCCTTGAAGTACAAAGGTACCAGGTGAATGATGCGCGGGGAAAAGAACAAAATTGTTCTTACTAGAGTCACCATCAGACTGGGTTCTGACCGAGGTCAAAGGCCCAAGATTTGTCAAGAATCTCACATCTTGGGTGTATGGGAGGAGGTGACCTGACTCCAGAAAAAGGCTCTGAGATCCTTCATCCTGTGCAAAATTGTCAAGACCATGTTCCCACGTCCTCTGTTTGTTGAACTGTATAATGGGTCTGCCCCTGTGCTCCATGGTCTTTCTGAGAGGCCTTGGGCCTCTATATAGTTGATTCCCCTTGGATACCATGAATTTCCCAAAGGAAATACAAACAGCGAAAAACAGAACATGGTCTCATGGCAATGTAGCAGACACATTAAGCAATCAGTAGGTCTAAGAACGCTGTGACCATGATTTCCAGGTTTGTACAAGCAGGGATGGAACAAGACTACAATGTAAGTTCTTGGTTTGGGCACATACTTTTCTGCCAGTTCATTGTGTGTCCTGAAGACATCTCTGGTGATCACTGACAGAACTATAGCTCCTGTCTCGAAAATAGCCATTTCCCAAGAGAATTCCCCAAGCTGGACCCAGGAGACAAACACTTTTCAGGACAATCTGTGTCCTCAGTCCTCCTTCTTAGGGACAATGACTTTAATGTGAAATCTCATATGCCCAACAGGAGAGTTAGTTAATGGCCTAGACAGCTGTTGACCTATGATTTCCTGCTGACTCTCTGAAGAAGTTGGCCAAGGAATATAGCCCAACCAAGGCTCTCATGAGAGTACACTGTCTAGTTCCACACATCACAACACTAAATACTAGGGAACACTGCTGCCCTCTGCCATCAGGAATTCAAAATACTTATAAAATGCTTCTCATGGACACCTGAAGTTGTATCTGAGACAGAGGTCTGAAGGCAGAGCATGCTAGTGTTCACACCTCTATGAGGATCCCATGTTTTCCACAACCAAGTACAACATTGATTCCCTCAGAGTTTTTCTCAAGGAAACATTCCTGGTAAGAATCCCTAGAGTCTATACAGAGCCTGATATCCTTGGCTGTGTTACCCACCATGCATCCACCTGTGTGCAAGATAAAGTCAAATGAAGCATTCTGATCTATTGCTATTATTGTACATCATTTGTATACTGAGCCAAATGCTCAAACCCCAACACAGGGACACAGTGAATAGGGAAGTTAGGCACAGACCACTCTTCTGTATGTGTCCAGTGAAATGAACCTCACCTAGCTCACAGAGTTCACAGTGAATCACTTACCGTGCACTTTGAGGTACGCGGATGTTATTGATGTCCTAGTTCCATGATTATTATAAGTTCGTAGGGTATAGAATCCAGTGTCCGTTGGGTTGACATTTTTTATCAGCAGGGATCCATTGCGAAACATTGTCTCCCTACCACTGTACATAGGACCTGGCCTACTCAAATTTAAGAGCGGTGCATATGCTCCAATTCCTTTTGTCGTATTTCTTAGACCTTTGAACCAGGCTATGGTTGTAGTATTCTCTGGCAGATCATTGACATGGAAAAAGATGTCATCTCCTTCAGCAGCTAGGGCTGGCACTTTTTCAATAGTCATATGGGCATTTGTGGACAGATGCCAGGAGCTTAAAAGGGAGACTAGAAGGGAATTGAGAAAAACCAATATAAGGCAGGTGTGATCATCACTCAGCTTTGTTTTGTGAGTAGGGCTGTGCCCAGCTTCCTTTGAGGACATGAGCAACATGACTTCCATTGATTCCCTTGAGTGTCTGAGTGTGTCAGTAACGCTCTTAGAAATTATCTGCTCAGGTGTCTGCCTTGTTTCCCACTCAGTGTCCCATAACCCTCCTTATATAGTGTACTTCATGTGAAGAGCAATGCTACTCTGAATTCCTCTTCTGGAGAGTCTGTTCCCTTTGTGATTCTCGTGAATTCATGACTTCATCAGACATACTGACATCAGATACACTAAAAGCAGTGCTTTTTGTTTGTTTCTTTGTTTTTGTTTTTCGATTTGGTTTTTGTTTTAGTTTCAGGGTTTTATTTTATTTATTTTTTTTTTTAAAAAAAGGATTAAAATTAAAGACATAGCTGTCCTAAAACTTGTTCTGTAGGCAGGCTGGACATCAAACCTCAGAAATCATCTACTCTGCTTCCCAAGTCCTGTATTCCCAAGGCTGAACTACCACTGCCTAACAAAACCAGGAATTTGTAAGGGCAGGATTAGTCTAAACATTATGGGAGGTTCAGTTCCTAAAAATGACCCAAATACAAGTGGATAAAGAAAAAAGGAAGGATGGAAAGAGAAATGTGTCTCCATTGATTTTTCTTCATAAGTCCTAGGTTTGGAGCTTTTGGCAATAATTGTATTCAGGTGTAAAAAAATGAATTTACACTTCATGAATTTATGTGTTATTTGTGAAGGCTGCTGACTCCTTGGGCAAATATAAATATGGATGTCACAAATCTGTGTGGGGGCACATGTGTTAGACTGCGCATGTGTGGGTACATGACACAGCACCAATGTGGAGGGCAGGGTAGAGCCTGCAGGTGTCTGTTCTCTCCATCTACTGTGTGGGAGCTAAGATTTGTTTTCAGGTTGTCAAATCTTTACACACTGAAACGTCTTGCTAACCCACCAATTTGCTTTCTATTTGAAAGGTCATGCTGTAATGGTTGAAAACGGCTGTCTTAAGGACAGTGCAGGCAATAAAATCCACTATGAATGTGGTGTCCTTTAGGCTTTTCTTTTACTATTATCACCTCCTGTCCCCTGAGGACTCCAAGCTGCTGAGCCCCTGTCCCTCACTGTACCTTCAGCACCATAACTGCAAACAGAAACCTTGAGTCTCCTCCCAAAATCCTGTCCTCTTTATCAGACTCCTGGCTACCTCTGAAAGGCCCTCCCCACACCCTGAGAAAGTGGGTACCCTTAACTGTGAGCAGAAGTCCCACACACACTGAGAAAGTGTGTACCCTTACCCATGAGCAGAAATCCCACACACACTAAGAAAGTGGGTACACTTACCCATGAGCAGAAGTCCTCAACACACTGAGAAATTGAGTACACTTACCTGTGAGCATAAGTCCTCCACACACTGAGAAAGTGTGTACTCTTACCCATGAGCAGAAATCCCCCACACTCTGAGAAAGTGTGTACCCTTACCCATGAGCAGAAGTCCCCAACACACTGAGAAAGTGGGTACACTTACATGTGAGCAGAAGTCCCCCCACATTGAGAAAGTGGGTACCCTTACCTGTGAGCAGAAGCCCCTGCCAAGGAGTGCTCCCCTTGTAGAGGAGCACAGTGGACTCCTCCATTAATCTCACTTGCTGTCCTTCCTCTGAGAACAGTCTCCACTCCAACACAGAACACAGGCTCTGCTGTTCTTCCTCCTTCTGGGCTGAGATTCCTCTCAGACAGGAGCACTTTCCAGAATCCAATGGGCTGTGAGTGGTGGGGTTTGAGTCCAAAGCACTGCTCAAGCGTTTCCACCCCGCAGAATCCCTCTCAACTTCCCTTTATGTTTCTCAGTCAAGCAACTCATTAAGCAACAATGCGGATAAGCATTCACATGCCCTCAGAGAACAATGGCTCATCCTAGGGATGACACCTGTTGTGTCCTTGCCTTGGGTCTGTCAGCACCAAAGAGGGAGCCTCAATCATTGTCTATGTGTCTATGAGACCACGCTGAGCACCCAGTCTACCCTGTGTTCTCAATGCTCTTGGAATGAGGTATTTACGTAATCACTGCAGGAAGGAGACAGAAATGTCTCTGAGGGATGGAAAGCGATCAGCTGAGTGATGACTAGGGATGAAGATCCGTGCTTTATCACTAATGTCACCAGTCAAATTAATTCTCCGGGAATGAAGCCCAAGAGCAGTTGTGTGAGGAGTTTCATGTGCTCATTGTTGGGGAAGAGGTGACCTGTGTGTTCTTGAAAGGACTGTAAGCTCCCTCTTCCTGTGGAGGGTTTCAAGACTACATTATAGTATTATGTGTTGGGTGTGCACATGTCCTCTCTGATTTTCCTGAGTCACCTCAGCCCTTTTCTAGATGATTTCCAGGTGCTAATCTTGGCTTTCTCATTGAGAGATGCCAGGAGGGAGCATAACTTCATGGTCACCATGGAGAAAGGTTTTCGCAGACAAAGGAAAGAGCCAGTAGGTCACAGCAGGGTCTAGGGAGAAAGCTCAAGATTAGTAAGGAAAGAGATGGAAAGCAGTATGCTCAAAGAAACAATTTTTGGAGCATTGAGCATATGCTCAGCTTTGCCCTTCTGGAAATCACTGGGAGAAGTCCAATCCCCATGTCTAGGGTTACAGTAGGCAAGGTCAAGAAGCCAAATGTGAAATACCCTGATACTTTTAGCACAGGTAGGATGCAGGGTCTGTCATCCTCATCACTGTGCTCTTCAGGACTCCTAATTCCTTCTACTATAATATGGGTCTAGACAGGGTTCCAGATTTCTCCTGAGAAGCCCTGAATTATAGTTGGAAATAGTCTGAATCTAGAGGAAGGGCATTCTCAGGAGGAGCTTTGTGCTCAGGAAACTTCTGAAGAAATCTAAGGACTTTTCTCTTGAGATTAAAAGGACAGTATACAGCTAAGCATACAGTGAAAGACTTTACTTCAAACACTAAGGAGGCAGGGGAAAAGAGGATTTCTTATATCCAGAACAGTCTGCTCTAGAGAGAAAGTACCAGGACAGCTGTGGTTACACAGAGAAATCCTTTCTGATAAAAAAAAAAGAAAGAAAGAAATAAGGGGACACTAATGTAGGGAACTGCGCATTCACTTTCTGGCCAATCACGGCTATCTAAATCCTACCTACTCTTTGCTCCGAGGGTGTGAAAGGAGTTTTCTCTTAAATACAACTCACATTGCTTCAAATAGTTACATCTTCCCTATGCTGTGTTCTATGTTTCTTTCTCTTGGGGTTTTTGTCACCCCAAGAGAAAGAAACATAGAACACAGTATAGGGAAAAAATGGAAAAGAGGAATTTATGAGAAACAGTAGATTCCATTTCCCTACTGGGGCTGTGTTATATTGTAGCACTGAAGTTAAGGAAGAAAACAAGATGCTTGCTGGCTCATTTGCAGGGTCCCACTCTGGCTCATGATTAGCTAGTTTCTTATACAACCAAGGATCATCTGCCTAGGAACAATGCTGCCCACAGAGGTCTGGGAACTCCTATATCAAATAAGACAATCATTTACAGAAATTTACAGCCTGACTTCTCTTGGTTGATTGAGACTCAATTTTCCTTTTTGGTGTTGTTGTTTGGTTTGTGTCTTTATTTGTTATTTTTGCATCCTGATGAAAACTTCCCCTTCATCCTCTCTTCCCAGTCCCTCTGACCACTTTGTCACCTTACCTCCTATCCACTTGTCTGTTTCTATGTCAATTCAATATAGTTTTTATTACTATAAATTTATAGTCAAGCTTGATATCAAGGATGGTGATACCTCTAGAAGTCCCTTTATTATTTTAGCGATCTTGGGTTTGGGGGGTTTTTTGGGGTTTTTTTTTTTTTTTGGTTTTCCATAAGAGGTAGAGTATTTTTCGTTGAAGCTCTGTAAAGAATTGTTTGAGAATTTTGATGGGAATTTCATTGAATCTGTAGATTGCTTTAGGTAAGATACTCAATTTTTTATTCCCACCAACTCATGAGCAAGGGAGATCTTTCCATCATCGGATATCTTCTCCAATTTTCTTCAAAGACTTGAAGTTATTCTCATAAAGTTTTTTGACTTGCTTAGTATCTTAAATAAAATGTTTATTTCTGTGAGGAGAAATGATGAACATGGCCTCTCTCATAAAGGAACATGTTTAATTGGGGTACCTCACTACTACATTCAGAGGCTCAGCCCATTGTCATCATGGTGGAGAGTTTGGGGGCATGAGATAGATATGGGGCTTGAGAAGTAGCTGAGAGATTTACATCTTACTAGCAACAGGAAATGGTCTTTCTGTCATAAAAGTAAAGTTTGAGCAAAACAGATCTCAAAGTCCACCACCACAGTGACACATTTCTTCAAACAAGGCTATACCTACTTCAACAAGGCCATACCTTCAAATAGTGTCATTCCTTGGGGGCCATTTTCTTTCAAACCACAACACTTGGTTATAATTACACTAAGATATTTTCTATTGTTAGTGCATGTGCTTGGGCTAGGGTAGGACTCCCTGGCCAGCCTAGGTGTCTCTATGTTGGGCCTGTGTCAATATCCAATAGTGAGTGCCTCAGCTCTAACTCTCTGCATGTAGGCAGTTACAGTGATGAGGAAAAAAAATACTCACAAGTAATATTCAGAATGAATGGGTCAAGTTTGGCACCAACGTGATGGACTAAATCCACTTAAAACCTGAAAGAGCTTAATTCTAGACACACATAAAAAACAGAGTCTAACACAGCTTTTTGCTGTTTGCTGGTGGTGTACCACAGAGAGATTTTCCTGACTCAGCAATAGCAGCATTAAAAAAAGCCGTGCCCTGCCGCCAGTGCAAACTCCAGCTATGGAGCATTTGTGGGCCCAGGTGTTTGTGTGCCCACTCGAAGTGGGGAGTAAAGTAGCTGAGACCATGCCCATAGTTTGGCTCTTCCTGCCTGGGTAGGTGGTGGGATCAGGTCTACTATAAAGGGGCGGTTTTGAAATACCAGTTTCTGGGCTGTGCTGCCAGCACAACCTCTGACTCTTTTGGGAGATAGAGCATTTGGATTGGGTTTGTGAGCAGATTGATTGTTGAAGCTTGCTTGATGGCAACATGGACCAGCTTTGTGCCTGGAAGTGGGGCAGTGTGCTTGGCTCTCAGAGGCACAAGTGTCTCTACCATGATGGGCTGGGTGGAGCAAGCCCCAAGTACCTGTATTTGACCTAGGATTGTCACAGCTTAGATTCTTAAGATCTTAGCATTTTAAAAGCACAAAGCAAAAGTGTTCCTGGACAGTAAAGAATTTCAGATTCACAATTGGACAGAATCAGATATAAAAGACCTCTAAATGGGTCACAGTGTTAGATAAATGTACTTAGGCTTAGGAGAGAGAAGAAAAAGTATACAATGGCATAAAATAAAGTTAATGCTTTAAAAAGGGGGGTAAAGTCTTTAAAGAGACAGGTAGTACAAATATTGATAGATTAAAAGGAATAAAGAAAAATAAGCCACGTAAAAATGTAAAAATCACAGAAAGTCGGGATTCTGTATATTATTGTGTTTTCTTTGATTTTTAACTGTGAAGGAGCTAAGTACACAGACACAATTCATTGTATGTGCTGCTAAGCTAAACCAGCATGTATATTATAAAGGTATCTTGACTTCAGAATATGGGTCTAAGGATATGGCGTTTCTTATGTTTTCACAGAAAATGAGAACCTGTGGATTGCTTCTACACCAATATGGTTTCACAGAACAAGACCCCCTGAAAGGTTGCTGTGAACACCCCCACAAAGAAAATACTTCACCCAACTGCTGACTGAGATGAACCTAGCACACAGGATACACCATGAAGGACCTGATTAATAGTGCCCCCATACAGCAGGAAGCAGTTTGGAGATAAAAAATGCACCTATATTCCCAAATATTATTTATAAATGTTCTTTCACATTTAAAGGGGAATATGATATAGATATGAATAATTTACATTGGTATAAATCTTGATTTATTGATACAAATTTAAGGTCAGTTTTGTTATATGTATATGTATTTCTGATCTTGATTAAGGTATTGTGTTTGTGCAGCTCATTTAAAAATGTAATGTACAATTAAGAAATATAGGTTAATAGATAATCATGTATAATAGTCAAGTTTGTAGTCATGTTATATTTTCTAGATGTGCATAGATATATTTCAGATAGGTATTCTTCATATCTTTTAAAGACTACAGAATATGGCATTTAAAATGTTTTAATAACTTAGGGCTTTTCATGACAATAAGACGCATCTGCTCCTGGTAGTACCAGCTACTTCAAGAGGAAGATGGGCATTGAAGAGGCTCCTTATGGAGTTTGCTAGACATTTAGGCAAGAAACTGCTCTTGCTGAACTGCTTTACTGAACATGCAAAACGCACAGAGAAATGACTACTGAAGTTGCCAGAAGGTAAGATGATCCTTTGGGGTTTTTGCTTCATAAAAAAAAGTCTGTGAGACATTCTGCAGGACGCAGAAAAAAAGTGACTGAGCTGTCTTTGAAATTTCCTGTTTCATGGAAAAGTCTGCTGGATACTATGGGCTTGTAGGCTGAAGATGGATGCCCCAATGGTATAAAAAACTTTGGGTGACTGTCCAGGCAGTGAGATGTCTCTGTCAATTCTAGAGTTTTGAAAGTTACTTACAATGCACTTCATGTTTACTTAGGTAATATTATATCCTTCTGGAGTCTTTTTTTTTTTTTTTGGGTTTTCGAGACAGGGTTTCTCTGTGGTTTTGGAGCCTCTCTTGGAACTAGCTCTTGTAGACCAGGCTGGTCTCGAACTCACAGAGA